ACATAAATGAACATTTGCACAATATTCTAATTTTTCGAGTTTCACCTGTATTACATATCTATTGTGATATGTTGTTTGGTTTTTATATACATCCAACCATGGTTTTTTTTTTCCTTTTTAGTTTCTTTGGGAGGGTTAGATATATTGTTTTGTACTTTGTACTTTTTTCATTTTCTTCCTAGTTATTTCTATATGATTGGGAGGGGGGAAGAAGGAGAGAGAAAGGTGAGCCACACAGACAAGTATTCTATGAGACTTATTTTTGATAAATATAGTTAAGATTTAATTAATTGTACCTAAGTATGTATCTACATATAAGGAATGTTTGTCTAGGTCCAGCATTTTGACATGCTGGTGATTGTAGTTTTTCTGAATTTGGGCATTTGCACAAAAACTGGTCATGAATGGCCTTCTTGTTCATCGACTGCTGGGACTAAGATGCATGCTGGGTTAGGCTGATCAGTCATTGCCTGTAATATCCATAGAGAAGAGGAATTCAGTACATTTACAGATATGGAATGAAAGTTATTAACAACTCCATCCAGATTCTACTTCCCATTCCTGATCTGAGTTGCTTAGTGCCAAAATGCCTACTTATGGACTTGGAATCTTGTGTAGCTGAAGGAAAAACTAGTCCTTCTCAAGTTGTCTGGCATTTATATTAATCCAATTTCTGTTTTCCTAGGTCACTGTCCTCCAGAACCACAAATGATTTGGAACCATACTCTAATAAGCTAAATATAGCTCATATTGGCGAGATATCCTCTAGACTTAGGTAAGTTTGCTGAATTGCACACCTGCTTTCTGCTTTATCTTTTTCTTCTTGGAACAGTTGTTAAAAGCAAGGAGGGTAAGAGGACTCAGAAGGGAGGTAAACCGAATCGCCAATGGTAAAGAATGGATTGGCTCATCAGAGATAGGAGGAGGGTTGAGGGCAGCAGAGCATGAAAGTATATGCCAATGAGTCCAGCAGTTTGTATTCAGAGCTTCTTCCTCTGCCCCCTTTAGAATAGCTTGCATCATATGCATGAAAACAAGGAGAGGCACAGGGAGATCTGCAGGAGTCTCATTCTAATTTCTTCTGCCTGCACATGTGTGGTGTTGTACATTTTGTTCTGTGTGAATGCAAGGAATGGATCAGTCGTTGCAGAAGAGTTTTTGAGCACCAGTGCAATACGTTCTTTTAAACTGGAAAAATGTAGTGAGACAGCCCTGTTGCACTTGCTGCTCATGACACCTTGTTCTAAGTTAGCTTCTGCCTTGAAATCTTGAATGTATCTGAACTTCCATTTCTTTCCCTCTTCAGAAGAGGCATAACGTGCAACCTGTTCCATTGCATTATGGAATGCAAGGATGCAATTTTCAGGAAAGAGGATCAAGAAGCTGACATTTTCTCACTAAACACTGCAATATGGTCCTTGAGAGTGGGCATAGTCATGACTTCCTAAAGATGAAGATCAGACAACAGAGTATATAGATATTTGTCCATATGCTGCCACACCTCTAAAACACTCTACGGTTCTAGGAAGTGGATATAGGAGTGAAAGGAGTCCTAGTTGCAAGGAATCCAGCACCCTAGAAAGAGTTCACTGGCCAGGAGTTTGGAAAATTTTGAACCAGAATACTAGTAGAGGAATAGAGAATATTTATTAAGGTTAGGAGTGCTTGTGAATTTTTTTATTGAGTGCCTGAGTTAGGAATCTCCCTAACTTGGATTACACATGTCTTCCCCAACACACTGAATTTCTACTGTAAAAAAAGTAGCAGATGTCCTCTCATCTAATTCAGTTTTGAATGGCTAGCTTCTGTAATGGGAAAGAAAAGAAAAACAGAGGAACCCGTGGAGATCTCACACTCAACTTTTTTCTTAACATCTGCAGCTGATAGTTGCTTACTTTCTCCCAAATCTCACATTCTGTCAATCTCATTGGAGTCTCATTTTTACCTAGGACTTTGCTAGAGGATGAATGCCATGCTCTAGAAAGATACATTACACACTTACAGGTAAGGACTATATCTCACTCACATAGAGCTTTTAGAATCTTGCACTTCTAAAAGTCCACTTCAATTTTTGGTTCATGAGTCTGTGAGGCTGCTTTCTACACTAGCGTAGCTAAACTTCACTCTCAACTTGTTCTTCACTCAGAATATCCCAAGTGGCCCAGTGACTCTCCTCTGATTTTGGAGTTTGTCCTATGATATATTCACAGTCCTATGGCTAGGCACGCTTACTGGGTCAAAGAAAAACAGATGGGCTTAAAGCCAGATGACTTGGGTTTTTCAAGGAGGGAGTAATATAGAATGAAGATGTGTCTGACTTTTATCTCAGCTTTGTAACTAATTAATTAGCTGCCATTCCTCTCCCCTTTTTCTGATCTAAAGAAGGTGGTGGGTGAGGGCTGAGATGTGCAGAGTAGGAGAGGTCTGTGCCATTTTTGGTGTGAAAATGCCATTGCTTTGGATTGCAGAGCTGCTACAACACTACCCCCTGCTATTTGTCTCTGTTTTTCTGAACCAACTTTGCACTACTAGCACAGGTATTCTGGGCAATGTTGCCACAATGACATGGGGATGCAGAAGGCTAACACAGGCTATTTTCCAGGGAAAAAGGAAACTTAACCTCTTTGACTGAAGGGACTGGGTGTGCATTGCTTGTCTAAAATAGCTTTCTGCAGTGATAGGAGCATACAGGAAGGGGAAAAAGTGAAATACTTCTATGTACAGAGTTCCCCATGCTTAAACCCTCTTAGGAAAGACAGGTATTCCTTTGGGGAAATTACAAAGGTGCATGACCTTGATATTTCAGTCTCTTATCAACATTTTTCTTTGATTTACAGAACCGACTAGAGGAGGTGCATAAGCATGCTACAGAGCTGCAAGAAACAATTCATGAGCCCACCATGGCTGGTATGCAAAATCCACATCTCATGCCTTTGTTTAGAATTAGACTGGGGATTGGGAAAGAGGAATGGTGCCTAAGAGTCATCTTCTTAAAGACAAGGTGGATTTTTCTAGTATAGACAGTATAAGCAATTAGGCAGAGATTATTTCTAAATGCTATACCACTATTTCTGTTGTTCTTGTGCTCATTGTTGTTTCTCCATCTTAAAGTAATCTTTTGTCCACAGAACTACAGGAAGAGAAACGTGCCATGGAGTGGGATTTGGAATTGAGCCAGCCCAAGTCATGTCCTAGGCCTCCTTCCCTGATGTCAAACCAGACTGGGAATAGCACCCATTTGCCTCAACTCAGGTAATATGTAAATATGTACAAACTAAAGTACTAGAAAGAGGTGGAAAGAGCAGAAGCCTTGTATTAGAAAGTGACAAACTTAATTCAGCTTGATTTATTATCACTCTATCTCCAGAATTCTGGAGTAACATTTTTGGAGTTTGTTCAATCCACTTCAGTGGAGTTTGGAGATCCATAAGCTCTTCTGCAATGACTAAGATTTCTGCATTTTTGTTACTTTTGATGGAAAGATGTTTAAATAAAACCTTTTGTATCGCACAACTCCTCTTTGTTCACAGCCATCCAAAAAGCTCAGTGAAAGAGTCAAGCTTTGGACAGATCAATCCTGCTTCTGATGGGACTTCTTCACCAGATCCCAGGGATCAGAGTTCTCTATTCTGCTATCAGCCATCATCCTGGTGGAGCCATTCAACAAAAACCCCTTTGGGATGGATACATCAAAATAGTGAGGATTCCAACCAGGCAAGGAAGGACAGTGACATTAAGCTGCCTAGAACATTGGGACGTCCAGTTGCTTCAGTTTATAGGGCAGCAGCACCAGTGTCGGAACCTGCTTTTCTTCCCATGCCTCCTACAGAACCTCGTCCACTGTCTCGCTTTTGTCCCCGTGCTAGATTGTTGCAGTGTAAAGGGCCAAGCTAGGGAAAAAAAGAACTTCCTCTTCCTTCTGACACCTCACTGTCTGCTCTGAGGCAATAGTGCCATCTGAATGCTGCTGTTCCCTGTGCCTGAAATGGGTTTAATGTTGGCTACTGTTGTCTTTCCTCATTCTTATGTTCAAATTCATCGATTCCAAAGAAAGTAACAAGACCGTGCTAAGTATCCCTTCTCCTATACAGTGCAGCAGTGCTCCTGGGATCCTTCCTCCTCCTCCTCTCCATTACCCAATACAATAAGTCCATTTAGCATTACAGAGAAGGTATGGCTCCTCAAATCACCCTTCCAATCCCCACAAAAAGAACTGTACATCCTGAGTTCAGGAATATAAATTTCATTAAAATCTATGAGACTTTAACAATCTACAACTGGGAGAGTCACAGTATGGGAGACTCATCACAATTATTGCTATGAACAATGAGAGGTGGCAGTGGTAGTTGCCACACTCTACAGGAGAGGGAGGGACAGACATGGAACCATGCATTAAATAGTGCATTTTCAGTACAGAGGAAGGGAAGGATTGGATGCTGGCGGCTTAAAGTAAAAATGCCATCATGGCATGAAGCCATCTGTCCCCCCTTCATCTGCGCATGATGCAGACATTTGGCACTTAAACACTGGCCATTGTGTCCATGCCACTGGCTGGGGCAGTTACCCTGTGGGTAGGAACCAGATGCACCCTTGCTGTTGGCACTACAGCAATTGTCCATGCCTGGGAGCTGAGGGATGCCCCCTACAAGAACAGTATGGCATTGGTGTCATGGCATCATTGCTGCCACAGGATAAAGGGCAAGGTAGTGGCTGTCCAGACTACTTGTCTCCTCCTTCTAGGCCTTGCTAAGGATAAAGTGCAGGCAGCAATGCTGAAACGGAAATAAGGGGCAATGAGGTGGGAAGACACAACCATTAGTTACCCCTCCCATATGAGCCAGTCTTAGCTGTGGTTTGTGTTACGAAGAGGTCTTGCTGCCATGCAATACTGGTGTTTCTGGCCAACTTCTTCATGTCTGCAGCATGGGGATAGAGGCTTCCATCCCCACTACTATGGGAGGTGGCAACCCAGGGTCCAGGGCTAACCAGGAATAGCTTTTAGGGAAGGTTGTGCTTTCTGACTTTTGTGCTTCCCTCAAGTTGCAAGGGCTGGTTTTGGCACATCATCTGCTCTTAGCACCATGGTTGGCTCTGCTCCTTTCCCTAGAGACTAGGACAGGGCTAGGTCCCAAGGATCCCTTGCAAGTAGAGGGATCCTATTCAAATTCATTTGCTCCTCTGTAGGGAAAGAGAATACACAGTAGTTTCAGAAGGTCCATTCCCAAGAACTCAAGTACAAGCTCCTGCATAATTCAGTTCAATAGTTTGCTCCACAACCTGTACATAGTGTGGCAGCAGCTTACATGAGTTGCCCACAAGCTTGGGACTTTCTTAGATTTGAACCATAGTCACATAGTGTCTCTGTTACCCATGTGCAAGGATGTGTGTGTGTGAAAGAGGAATCCGGGACAGTTAGGCAAATAAGGCTAGATTCTCCCTACCAATTTTGAGAGACTTCCGGAATTTTCTTAAGCTCTTGGGAACCATCATTGGAACTTTATATCTACAGTCTTGGAAAAGCTACCCCACTTTTCCTAAATACAAGACAAGTGGGGAAGCTGGGAAGATATAGATATTGATGGGTAGTGTGCAGTCTTCCATGCATGTGTGCAAGAGTGGTCACAAAGGCAGTAGCCTAGCTGAAGGTTGTCTAGCTCTAGACTGAATTTTGCCTAGAATGTCAGCTCATATTTGAAACCACTGCCAACCTCCATCACTCCCATTTGTTTCCTTGAAGGGCCAGGCAAATGGCCCTGATCCAGGGCAATGAGGGCCATATCATCCCCAATAGATTCTAGACCCACTGGGCCCAGGAGTAGCTGCCAGAAACCATCCTGAGAGGATAACTAAGCTTCTAAGACAGCAACCAACCTTCCTCCTGGTACCTCTCAAGGAACCCCCACTTAGCCAGTGCACACCGTCTCTGTCTCTGATCCTGGTCCTGGCTGTGAATTGGGGCCATCTGAGCATTACTTGTAAACATAAGGGTTACAAGATGGCACAAGGACACTAATGAGGTGGGTGGGATGGGAACTCACAGCCCCCTCCCCCAGAGTCCAGCACAGCCTGGGAGCCAGGGCTCCCCACCCAGTGGGGGTACTTTAGTATATCTGAGCAGAGTAGGATTTAGAGGACCAGGACAGGTGGGAATGGATTGGTGCAAGGAGTGCTCCCTGCCCTGCCTCCCAGGCTAAGGTTCACATCATGGAGTCTTGGCTGTGGGTTGAGCCATTGCTTCCGATGGTGATGGCAACCATCATGCCAGCCTCATCACTCTTGGGTTTCTCGGGGTTCAGCAGCTGCACCTCCAGCTGGGATTCTGTTGAGCTGAATGCTGTTGCATAGCGGCCTGTCTGGTGCTCAGCAAGGGCTGGGCCCCACTCCCGGCTTGGCCGAGTTGCATTTTTCAAACGCTGCAGAGATACAAAAGGCAAGCAAGAAATTGGTGGTTTCAATACCCTGGTTTACAGTGGGATCTCAGGCAGGTACACCTGTGGGTCCCACATGTCCAGAAAGCAGCAGCATCTCTGCCCCTTTGCCTGCAATCCCCAATCCTACCTGCAGTAGTGAGTCGCCTTCTGAACGCAAAAGGTAGTACACTGCATAGATGGGGATGCAGATGACCGATGAGAGCGCCATACAGAAACCAATGGCGATGGCCCAGGTCGGATACACATATGTGTTGTATGAGATTGGTTCATACTGAATCACTGTAAATATCAGGATAAACTGGAAGGAGAGGGGGAAAAGGCTGACTAAAACCAAAACAGGTACTGGATGGCATCATTCCTAGTACTGCATTCTGAGGACCTTCAAAAGCTCTCTTCATTTCACAGATCTGGATATTTTTATCATGGCAGGTAGAAAACCTCTGGCCTTCCCTTCCCCCACCCTCTGCTTACTTGTCACTGTGTTTTTCTGCAATAGCAGTTTAGTCTTTATTCCATGCTCATGCTGTTTCAATGTATGTGGCTAGTCACCCAGTCCCCTCTCCTCTCATTCCCAATCCTGCCTCCTATGTTCTTTTGTGTTTCTCCCCCACTCTCTCTTTGCACTCACAAAGATGATAACTGGAGAGATGAACCTCCAACAGATCTGGAAGAAGATGGGTGGTGGAAAACCCAGCATCATCTCAATGTCCTTGAAATAGTTCCGGTACCCTGGATGAGAGGATGGTCAGCGGATTAGAGTGGAGGTATTGTAAGAAGACTCCAGGGATACTGCAAGTTCTCAAGAGTCCACTAGTATAATAGGGTACCTATTTCCTCACTGTGTCTCTCTCGCCATTCCTCAGTATGGTTCTTTTGCTCTGCTTCCTACCCTTATCACAACTCTGACAGTGGAAGCAGAGCACAAAAGAAGCCTCTGCCATTAATGATACCTTGAGGCAAGTTCCCATTGCCTACTGGGACAGTGCCTGAAAGAGTCAATGCTCAGACCACAGAACATTAGGCAAAATACCCTTTGGGGCATCCCCTCCTATGGCAGTGGGTTCCTTCAGGATGATGTGGTAATGGTGACAGTGATAGCAGTAGTTGGAAGGTGGTTAGGAGACATCACAGTGACCTGGCCCCTAGAGCACTAACCTCAGCCCAGATATCCTTGACAGTTGCCCTAGGATACCAGACTTCTGTACTAAGCCTGCTGTTATAATCTGCTTCTTTTACTACCAACTCTTTTTAGTTGGGGAGCAAGTAATCAGTCGTGCATCTTAGGTCAGCAGTCTTCTGAGCTGTGAGCGATGACAAGTGCCCAACCAAACCAATTACTGACAGCAGCCAAATAAACTTTAATAACCTTCAAATTGTTGTGATTAGATATTAGTCCTGTCTGCATTTGAGTTATGGACTTTTCATAAGAAAGAATTGATTGCAGCCTTTCCGTATCTTTTCTTATCTTACTCCAGACTCCTAAGTCAGGAAATGGCATCCAGGGAAACCAGCATCTTCTATTCTTGACTCTATATAATTTTTAATTTTTCAGCATTCCTGGCTGTCAAATCCACAGGGGAGTTCTGGCTGTCTTGATCAAGTGCTAACTGTTGAAACATCAGTATTCCAGCCATTCACATGCTTAGCTCTAGAACTGCTCTAATTAATCCAAAAGAGGTCTCTATGCAACTGGCAGAAGGTACTCACCATAGACATACATAATGGCGATGCACATGATGCATGAAATAACCACAAGTGAGAAACTTGCTGCATAATTGTCCATCAACGATAACCAATAAATGCCAGCCTAGGGGAGAACAGAAAAAGAAAGCAGTCAGTACTGGATTAGAGCAAGCCTTCTCCCTCTCAGCATTAGGGTGGGAATTGGTCATTTCTGCCTTGCCCTTTGCCTCTCCCTCATACCTGCGTGGTGAGTGGGATACCTAGCAGAAAGCCCACCACAGCCACACCTAGAGTCACAAAAGTCTTCCGACGGAATATCCATTCATTTCCCACTTCATCTACAATGGCTGTGACAAGAGTCTCCAGGAGACAGAACTGAGGAAAAAAATGATGAAGGAGAAGTAAAAGTTATACATGCCACAGTGGTTTTAATCTCTCCATCTTTCTTCATTTAGCAACA